TTATGTAGTCTAGCAGAGAAATTGGATGAGGGGTAAATGACTGTTTAAACCTATATTATTGTCTTTTGAAATTAAAAGTTCCAAGGGAGTTATTATATTTTAATATATTGAAGTCTAAAACAGTATTCATTAATATGCATTGATATAGTGGCCCAATTTGAAACTTAATTCAAACGAAGACCATGTGCCCCAAGAGATAAATGTTTCTGTCCAAATTGCTGTATGTAACAAAAATGAAAAGCAGAAATGAGAGCTTGTCTTCTCTGCAATTTGGAAGTCTTTCTTTAATGAATAGTTGACTTTTTTCCTAATTCAAAAATAGTACCTCCTTCAGAGTTTAAAATTTAAACCACACAGAAGAAAAAAAGGTCATGTGAACAGAAGATTTTCTATATATAATATAGCACATTTCACCTGGGAAACTTTATGTAAAAGCTATAGAATGCTATTCATAGATCATTCAGAAATATATTAAATTTGAGATTTTTTTTTTTACCCCCAGCCAGAGAAACTGCCAAGTAATTAATTCTGTTTCTCTTTGCAACTGTACTAACTAAAATATTGCCTATAATGCTCCCAAATTACTTTAAAAATAAACTTCAAAAAGAAATGAATTGAGAAATGTTATAAATCTATGGAAAATCCTTCCCATTTTATCTTGAATAAGCAGAAGTTTCTTTGAAATTAACATCTTTGAAAATGTGCTGTTTACAACAAACAATAGCAAAATTCCATTTGTTTTTGTTTGTTTATTTGTTTTTGCGTTGTTGTTGTTGTTTTAATCAAAAGCAAAACCACAAAATCCTCACTCTCAAGGACTGCACAGACTACTGCAGAAGCCAGGAAGAAATCTATGTCTTTATAGAGTACTTATCTCAGAAGGTTGTTATAAATATTAAATGAGAGTTATTTTACGGAATACATCTGAAATAGTGCCTGGCACATAAAAAGCATTATATAAGTATTAGCTATTATAATTACAGAGTGACAAATAAAAGGCCGGAGTGCTATGGTTATGGAATAGAATGATGAGAAAGGAAACTTCCAGGGGCTTAGGTGTACTTTAAGCACATGTATCAAATATTGATGCTTCATTATGGCGAGGGGGCTAACAAGTTGCCAGTGTGCCACAAGTCAACATGCAGGCAAAGATGGAAACGTTTTCCAAATCTAAAATGTGGTGAAATATGTTGTACTTTGGAATTGTATATGAACTTTTTTCCCCGTTCAGAATTACAAATCTCTTAGAAAGCCATTTTATTTCTTTCTAAAACCAAGTTATGATCACCTACTGTTTAGCACAGAAATAAAAGTGAGGGATAAAATCTACCAACACAGCAAAGACACATCTTGCTTTGCATATCTTGAGGAAGGCAATCAGCAACATGGAAAGATGACTCTCCATTGATTACTGTATGTTGAGAACCTTGAGATTCAGACAGTATAGGATTCCAGCTAGGCAGTTGTGAACCGTTCATTTGTCTTAGGCAAGAGAGTCTCTTCAGCTTTCTGAACTTTTCTGTATTTCACATACTCATTCTAGTTCATGCTCATGTTCAAAGCTTGGCTAGAATAGAATGAAAAAGGTTCCAAAGTAAACTCAGCATAACTCAAACATTCTTCTAGGGCTTCTTATCTCTAGTGGAAAAGTGAAAAGATGGCTTGCCTTTTATTTTTAAACACTTTACCTGAGTGATAAAATAACCCAAAAGCGACTGTCAAGAATCAGAAAAATTGGCTGGGCATGGTGGCTCATACCTGTAATCCCAGCACTTTGGGAGGCCAAGGCGGGCTCAGGAGTTCGAGACCAGCCTGACCAAAATGGTGAAACCCTGTCTCTACTAAAAATACAAATATTAGCTGAGCGTGGCGGTGGGCACCTGTAATCACAGCTACTCGGGAGGCTGAGGCAGGAGAATCGCTTGAACCCGGGAGGTGGAGGTTGCAGTGAGCGGAGATCGTGCAACTGCACTCCAGCCTGGGCAACAGAGTGAGACTCCGTCTCAAAAAAAAAGAAAAAAAAAAAAGAGAGAGAAAAATTGAGAACACATAGGCGCTGGTAATTCAAACTACATCATCAGCTACTGGAAAAGTAGAACCAGTGATGTTTTCAAATGCACTTACACTCCTTTAAAAAAATTATTAGACTTTATTTTGTAGAGCAGTTTTAGATTCACAGCAAAATTAGCAGATGATCCAGAGATTTCTCATGTACTCCCTGCTCCCATACTGCATAGCTTCCCCTGTTATCAACCTCCCACACCGGAGTGGTAAGTTCGTTACAACCGATGAACCTACATTGACCCGTCATTACCCAACGTCCATAGTTTACATTAGAGTTCACTTTTGGTGTTGTGCATTCTACGGGTTTGGACAACTAGAGTCTGTTTTTGAAAAGAACTCACCTTGTGTTGAAAATGAAACCTGAGTCTGTGAATAGAAGTGTTTTCAGTTGTAGTAAAATTGGAGCTGATGCTCCAGAGGCTGTTGCAAGGATGTGTCCTCAGGCAAGGGCACAGACCTCTCAACCTAGAGCACTAATAGTTAAAGCTCGATAGCCTCAAGCCTTTGCATTGCTTTGTACTGGCTTAATGGCTTTTACTGTTTAATATGTTACAAAGGCTCTGGTCTTCAAAAGTAATGAAGTGCAAACATGAATGACAATTGAAAATTTAGTGTGACTGATGACTGACAAGAAAGGGACTAGAAATAACACATTTTAGACTTTGACCTTGCAGAGAATTCTTTACTCATGTGAAGTGGGATGGGTGAAAAACATAGCTTTTTTTCTTTCCTCCTCCCTGCCCCCGCCTTGCTTCAAGAATACATATGTAAGCGTACTTTGTAGAAATTGTGTATGTATTGCAATAAATTAAACTAGTGGCTTCCAAGTTTTTTGACCATGTCCCACAACAATTTTTTTATGTTGCAATCTATCAAATACACATATATGTATCTGACACTAAATTATTAGTATTAGTTATATTCTGGGCACAATCTATGCACCCCAGTTTGGACGAAGATAAAGTGAGTTAAACCTTCCTGTCACACTGCCTGGCAGGCAACATTTTTAAAGGGGGAAAATTAAACCTGTTTATTCAAATTTAAAAGAATAACAGATGTATGATCAGAACGAGGCAACTATTAATGTATTTTGACTTATAAAAACCTTCTGTCTGGGCTCAGTGGCTCACGCTTATAATCCTAGCACTTTGGGAGGCCGAGGCGAGCGGATCACCTGAGGTCAGGCATTTGAGACCAGCCTGGCCAACATGATGAAACCCCTAAAAATATAAAAATTAGCCATGTGTGGTGGTGGGTGCCTGTAATCCCAGCTACTTGGGAGACTGAGGCAGGAGAATTGCTTGAATCCAGGAGACAGAGGTTGCAGTGAGCCGACACGATGCCACGGCACTCCAGCCTGGGTGACAGAGTGAGGCTCCGTCTCAAAAAAACAAAACCAAAACCAAAACAACAACAACGAAAAAACACTTCTGATAAGGTCTTATATTGAGAACTAATATCAATTCAGTTAACTGGTTTTTGGAAGAAATGTTCCCAAAGTAATAATATTAGCAGAAATGGGGGATTTCAAGTTTGGGAATAATGTTTTAATTTAAAGTGTTTTAAAAATGATCTGGACTCGATGGTATCCAGTTAATTCTCAAATTAAAAAAAAATGGAAACAAAGTGGTGTCTGCATTTTTAATATTCCCTCACCCTTGGTATTTCTGATGCAATTTGTCTTCATGGGCCATTTTTAGAAATGTTTTCACAAACTAGAATATTAGTAGGCCTGAAGAAGAAAGCCCAGACTTTAGAAAATTTAGTGGTTAAAATATTCATGACTTCCAGTATTTAGTTTTCTAGAGATAGACCATCAAGTAGAGAAAAGAATTTAGATACAAGGATAGATCTGAATAAGAACAGGTCAAGTTAAAGTGTTTTTTGTATATATAACCTGTATGCCTATACAGAAAATTGAATATATAATTTTGTCTCTCAAAGGAGAAGCTTAGATTTGGAGAGAGAGATTTGGAAGCTATATTAGTTTTTTAGGATTGCCATAACAAAATATCACAGACTGCGTGGTTTACAAAACAGAAATTTATTTTCTCAAAGTTATGGCGGCTGGAAATTTAATGTCAAGGTGTTTAAAGTAGGAATAGTTACTTCTGAGGCCTCCCTCCTTGGCTTGCAGATGACTGCCTTTCTTGCTGTGCTCTCACATAGTGCTTCTTCTGTGTGCATGGCCCCCCGGGGACTCTCTCTGTGTCCAGATTCCCTCCTTCCCTTCCTTTCTTCCTTTCTTCCTTTTTTCTTCCTTTCTTCCTTTCTTCCTTCCTTCCTCCCTCCCTTCCTTCCTTTTTGTTTTTGTTGAAACAGAGCCTTACTCTGTTGCCCAGGCTGAAGTACAGGGGCAAAATCTTGGCTCACTGCGACCTCCGCCTTCTGGGCTCAAGTGATCCTCCCACCTCAGCTTCCCAAGTAGCTGGGACCACAGGCACACACCACCTCGCCTGGCTAATTGTTGAATTTTTAGTAATGACAGGGTTTCACCATGTTGGCCAAACTGGTCTCAAACTTCTGACCTCAAGTGATCTGCCTGCCTCGGCCTCCCAGAGTGCTGGGTTTACAGGCATGAGCCACCATACCTGGTCCAAATTTTCTTTTCTTATAAAGACGTCAATCAAGTTGGGTTAGGGTCTACTCCTATGGTTTCATTTTAATTTAATGACCTCTTCACAGGCCCTGTCTCCAGATACAGTCACTGTGTGAGGTATGTTGGGGAACACAATTTAGCTCATAACAGGTTCCATCAGAACATAAAAGAACAGTAAATAAACATATATTAAGCATGGAGTCCTTAGATGCACTTACATCTAATGATTAATAAAGGGCTGGAAATCTATGACAGCAACAGAAAGATGGTCAGAGAGGTATAAAGAGAGCAAGAAGAGTGAGATTCAAGAAAGTGAAATTCTTTCATGATGTGGAAGGCATGGTCAAGTTCAGCAGCTATGTCTAATAATAGTAGTGAAGAAAAAATTATTTTCCGTTGGAAACTAGAAATTATTAAGGATCTTAATGAAATCAGATTCTGTTGAGTGGTGCTGAAAGTTAGATTTTGCTGGGTTGATAGCTAAATTGAAGGCAAAAAGAATAAACGCAACCAATTTACCAAGCCAGGGAAATAACAGATTTTGAAACTTGTAAGATCTCACCTTAATAGAAATTATAAGCTGGGTATCTTAATAGAAATTATAAGCTGGGTATCTTACTAGATGGGAGATGTCTTATTCATTTTGGGCTGCTGAAATAAATTAATATAACTGAATGACTTAAATAACATACATTTATTTCTCCTAGTTCTGGAGGCTTGGATTCTGAGATTAGGGTGCCAGTATGGTTCAGTTCTGGTGAGGCTCTCTTTCTGGTTTGTAGGCAGCCACCCTTTGAATGTGTCCTCAAATGGTAGAGGAGAGAGAGACAAAACAAACAAACAAACAAACAAACAAACAAAAAACTTTCTCTTGTCTCTTCTTAGAAAAACACTAATCCCTTCATAAGACACTACTAGCCTCCTGGCCTAATTACTTCTCAAAGGCCCCATCTCCAAATTCTATCACATTGAGATTTAGGGATTCGATATATGAAATTTAGGGGGAAACACACATAGTGGAAGTGACTTTCAGAAGCCTAACACCTGAGTCATCATATACTGAAAACTCAAGACAAATTATGGAATGCAGAAGAAAAGCCCTAGATGGGTGTAAATTTTTTAGGAAGTTGTGTGGGGGCGACTGATACAGTTTTCCACAGGATTTTTCTTGAGGTTATTAATACTATTAGTGGCACCAACTAATAAGAACATCTTGAACCAACTAATAGTAACATCAATAATAAATCTGAACCAATGATCTGAAATTTATTATCTTATACTTTGCTTTTTTTCTCTATATAAAATGGAGTTAAAAAGCAAGTAGATGATCGTTTGATCTCCCTTGAGTATCTTTAAGAGTTAGAGTCTAAATATCAGAAAGTAATTTTTGTTGAGGATGATTTGATAAAAAGAATTCCAATAACAGGCTTAAGCGAGGTTTTGGTCTTATAGAAATAGAGCACTGTAAGCAAATCAATACTGAGCTCGGCCATAAGTGGATATGATTGCTGGTGTAATGGGTGAGCTGCCAACAGTCATGATGCTAGCAGTTTTGATCCTGCAGTTGTTGCAATGAATATTTTGAGTACCTTGGGACCCTCAGTAGTTGTATATTATTTTTCTTCTCTGTGTTCCCAAGTTTGAACTTCTGGTGTTAATTATAACTCTGCATACCTGAAGTTAAAAAATATAAAATTTTATATTATTATTAGGAAAAAAACTCCACCTACTCCAGCTATTAAATAGTGTTATTATTCTGTATTTAACTCTTGGCAATCTAATAAACAAGAGGTTTCTATAACAGGTTCCTGTGATCACCTTTTTTAAGAAAGTATTTTAGCTTTTAAAAAAATATATTGTTATTATTATTTTTGGCTCCTGGCATCTTAAACCAAACCTAAAAATTACCAATATTTTCCTTTGGTGAATAACATTATATGACTGATAAATTGTCAATGTTCATTCAGTTTCATGTCCTGCCCTTATAATTATTGGGGATGATCAAGGTATGCATTTAAAAAATGTTAAAATATGCTGGGTGATAATGGCTTGCATTTATTTGAATAACTGTTTAAAATACAGTTAGAAGTGAAAACATACTGCTAGGGCAAAACTTACCTCATTGTACACTGAAATAATCTACAGATCTTCCTCTTTTAAACGATGAATTAAATATGAGAGATATTGTTATTTTTTTTTTTCAGTGATTATACAATACCTGGCCCAAGAGCACATAATAAATATTTGTTGAATAAGGAACTGAATTTAGACGTCACAATGAGATCAGCGTAATACTGCTCCAAATGTAGGCCTTGAGAAGGAATGCCCAATATGGAGTAAACAGATACTGAAAAGTTTGGTTCCTTCTTAGTTGAGGGACCGTCAAAATAAAATAAATATTTCTAAAGAACAGCCTCCAATTTTTCACTAAGGGATGGTAGGTCAAGATAAACATGAACTGAAATAATCCAAGAGGTATGGAAACACTGGCTTCTTCCAAAACAGAATAAATCTGCAGCAGCTGTCATGGTTTTACTACTCCACTGAAGAGTTCAATAGTAATTTAAAAGCAGGAAAGAATTCAGTCTTATCTGAAAATGGGCTGTTGTTCTATTTGTCTTGTTAGTAAGCAGGAGCCACAGAAACATACAGGCTCATTTAAAAGAATAAGGTCCCATCTATAGTGTGTTATATGCTCAGGGGTCAAGTGAAGGATTCTGCAGGAAAGTACTGGTCATTCTCATTTGTGGGGGGATTTCTGGAGATATTCAATAAAAATCCTGGGCTCTGAAGAAGCAGAGTGAGATAGGGAATTAGGTAGGAATTATAAAGACAAAACAGGAGAGCACACACCTACCATCCTGGTGCCCTGGAAGACATCTGTTAGGGGATAGAAATGGAAACCACGCAAAAATAAATTGTTCACTTCCAAACAGATTAGCTATCTTTATATATTGTTTGCTACATGTGTTTCTTTTTTGAAGAATACTTTCTAGGGTCAATGTGGAGAAGTGAAAATTCCTTGCTCAGAGTTCACTTTCTAAGTACTTGGTTTAGAACTGAAATCAGGAATTGTCATTTGAGCTTGATGTATGTTTTGTTTATGGATAACGCATTAGGATTGTATTAACAAGGAGTAAATGGTAATTTTCTATTCCAATTAATTTTGCCTTTGTGGGAAGAAATGGATTTTCCTCATCTTAATGTGTGAAACTCCACAGTATCCTGTTTTTCATGGTTTCCAGAAGGGAATGAGGACATTTGGAAACCAATAATTGAGAAATCATGACTTAAAGAAACACAAGAAATATACAGGCATTCCTCAGTATTTATGGGACATTATTCCAAGACTGTCCTTGGATACCGAATCCACTCAAGTCCCTGATATAAAATGGCATAAATTTGCCTATAACTTATGCCAATCCTTCTGTATACTTTAAATTATCTCTAGAGTAGTTATAATACCTAATACAAAATTATGTAAATAGTTGTTATACTGCATAATTTAGGAAATAATGACAAGGGAGAAAAGTCTATATGTGTTTGGTACAGAGGCAATTTGTTTTCAAATGTTTTCTATTCCTGGTTGTGTAACACATGGATATGGGGCAGGGGGCCTGACTGCATATATATATGTTTTTCCCACCCCCCCCAACTTTAAGTTGTCTTTCTTTCCTTTTTTTTTTTTTTCCCTTAGATAAGATCTTGCTCTGTCACCCAGGCTGGAGTGCACGACTCACTGCAGCCTTGACCTTCTGGGCCCCCACAATGCTCCCATCTCAGCTTCCTGAGTAGCTAGGACCACAGGTGTGTGCCACTATGCCCAGCTAATTTTTGTATTTTTGTAGATATGGGGTTTTGCCATGTTGGCCAGGCTGGTCTCCAACTCCTAGGCTCAAATGATCCACCTGCCTTGGCTTCCTGAAGTGCTGGGATTACTGCCGTGAGTCACCATGACTGGCAGTTATTTCTTGATTTTGTTTCAAAAGTTCTCAAGAGGTGGACATAGTATCATCTGGCATTGTATACTTTAAAAAAATTATTTATCATCATTATTACTTTTAAGTAAGTAAATAGAGATGCTGTCTCAATATGTTGCCCAGACTGGTCTTGCACTCCTGGGCTCAAGCAACCCTCCCACGTCAGCCTCCCAAAGTGCTGGGATTACAGGCGTGAGCCACTGTGCCCAGCTGGATACTTTTATTAAACACATTTATCCCTCCAATATTTTATTATGAAACATTTCAAACATATAGCAAAGTTGAGAGAAGTTTAGAGTGAATACTCATATACACACAATTTAGATTTTACCACTGACATTTTACTATACTTGCTTTATCACGTATTTATCCATCACTCTATTTATCCATAAATCCATCTTACTTTTTTTTCTTTTTTAGAGACAGCATCTCTGGGACTCCATTTCTTGGACTGAGAAAATCTGTTGTCCAGGCTGGAATGCAGTGGTGCCTTCACAGCTCACTGTAATCTTGAACTCCTGGATTCAAGCGGTCCTCCTGTCTCAGTCTTCTGAGTAGCTAGGACTACAGGTGTGCCACTACCATACCTGGCTAATTTTTTGTTTGTTTGTTTGTTTGTAGAGAAGGAGTCTCGTTATGTTACTCAGGCTGGTCTTGAACTCCTGGCCTCAAGCAATCCTTTTACCTTGGCTTTCCAAAGTACTGTGATTACAGATGTGAGTCACACCACCTGGCCCATAAATCCATTTTACTTTTGATACATTTCAAAGTAAATTGCAGCTATCAGTTCACCATCCTTCAATACTTCAGCTTACATATTATTAACTAGATTATTGACAACTTTTAAAGATTATTTACAAACAGACATATTTGAAGTTTATTATCAAGTACACTTTCAGCCTAAAAACCACCACAAATTTGACCACTATGTACCTAAAGGAAGTACTATTTCAATAAAGAAGTCTGGGTGCCTTCTGGCTCCCTTGAGAAATCAGTTATGGTCTTTTCATCTTCCCCCACTCCCACATTCTTCCCCTGCCAATTGTTTTTCCATATATCTACTGCTTCACATGCCCACTAGACACTGCTGTAGCTCAAACCCTTTCTTACCTTTCATGGTATGATTCTAAAGAGTGTGTCTCTGCTTCTTTCTGTTCTTTCGACCCATCCTTCTTGAAAATGCTGATTATCTACTCAGAAGAGATTGGAGAGAGTTAAAGCATTGATTTTGGTGTTGCCTGGTTTATTGCTTTCAATCTAATTCAGAGATGTTAAATGGCAGGGAGTCATGTTGTCGTATTTCCCATTACATAAAGGGGTAGATTTCACTGGTGTTGAAGGAATGGCTGGATGTTGTCGGACAGGGACTTTCACTCCAGT